ACCAAGAATACTCGGTCCGTGGATGGTAAACCGATGGACGTCTCCCCATAGAATGTCTATGGGAGCCTGAGGATGCCGCGAATTTCCGGCTGGAAAGCCTCGACGAAAGTCGAGCTCTATCGATGAGTAACCGCCTCAAGAGATGGTCTTCAGAACACTCCTTAGTCGGACGAGTATCAGACTCGATTAGACGTTTAGTTCGCAGCAGTGAAGCGATATTGTTAAAGATGATCGACGCGTTGATGGGATGTAGAGGCGATCAAAGTAAGTTGACGCTAATCTGACCGCCTTTTTTCAAAGTTGACTTATGTCACTCATTCTCAGTATGTCTGAGTTGGGGAGAGACACTTAGCTGGCAGCGGACAGAGTAGCGGAGGAGAGATGCTGCCGAAAAAGTAGCGGGCGACAAAGATATGAACGAATTCCATGCGGATTCGAGGTGTCGAGATTCAAACGAGTCGTCGTCTTCGTCGCCAGTTAGGGAGGAAGGAGTCACAGTAGCACAAGCCAGGACAGGCAATACTATGGAAATGCGACAACACCCGTCGAAGGCAGGCAGGAAGGAACGGTCGGATGAGAGCTCGGCCGATCGGCTACGAGAGCTCTCCGCCTGTCCAACAGGGAGACGGAGGCAGCAATGTGGCTGCCACTTCACTTCACTTGACGACGACAACGAACGACGAAGAAGACGACGACGAGGACAGATTGAATCATTCGATTTCAACTTTCAACTTAGAGCTCCAAAACCGAGTATCGAAAGTAAGAGCAGAACCGAGACAAGAACGAAGACAAGTCGAAGAAAGCAGCACGGATCCCTTTGGCGCGTCATTGAGATGATGGATGATGAGAATAGAGCAAGCGAACGACCGACCGACAGACCAGCCAGCTCGTCAACCGATAGCGCCGATCGACCAACTCGACGAGGGGTTCGAAAGGGAAACGAAAAAAGAAGCGGCGTCAATATCGCAATCTTGTTAACGAACACTGTTGCTGTCCTCGTCGGAGACCGCAAACCGCGAAATGCAAAACTCTCCCCTCAGGATGTCTCGGCTAGTGGAGCGACCGACTAATCGTTGTGAGCAACATTCTGGATCCCCGCATGGCGAAGGTTGCTCGGGTTTCAGAAGCAGCTCGGCGACACGCTCCCCGGAAAGCAAGCCCGATGTTTGAGCGCTGTCGAGACGCCGGATCTGCGTCAGGTCGTAGCCCATTAATCAAGCTAATGAACAACAAACAAGGCGGACGAGTTCGAGTCGTGGTGCAATGTCAAGATTGTTGTTCGAGCCGTGATCAACAACTCCACAGTAACGAAGGACAACATATGGCGCGGTCAGGGGCCACAAAAAGCGAGTCGAAATCTTTGCTGTGCCCGAATTGAGGCAAACTTCATTCTTGAGTGCGCCGCTAATGAAACCGCACACTTTCTGCAGAGCCTTCGCCCTCCGAAGAGCTAATCAACCTACTGGGGAGAATCGCAGTCTGACTCCTATCAGTCCGGCGAAGCGCGGTCCGTTCTTCCATGAAGCTTCCGCACGGCTCGGCATTCAATGAAAGTCCGTGAGCCTCATTCGGAGGAACATGAAAGCTATTTTCGGAGGCTTTCCCTTTACGCGTGTCTTCATTTCTCCTCCGAAGATCGACGGGCTTCCTCGAAAAGCATGCGAGCGGTTTATTATATCCTATATTCGAAGGGTCCCCAGGCCCATCCTAGGCAGCTCGAGCCAACTAACCGTGGCGCGTGCGACTAAATGATCCCCCCATTTGAAGAGGATTCGGTCTGTTTTGTCTATCTCACCCGGCTGCACCTGAGCTTCATGGACATCATGAAGATAAATTCTCCAAAACACATCGGTCCTGAACGCTTCTCGTCCGAGGACCGTACGATGGGGCTGCCATCGTTATCGCAGCCACCTCCACCCCACCACGAACACTGAGCGGAAGAGCCCAACATATTTACATAGCATTTCCATAGCGATCTTCTACGCCACCATCGGCCTGCAGGTGGTGTCGTTTTTCATCCCAACCTCAGAAGACGAAGATTCAACAGGAGATATCCCTTGGAAATTCATTCCTATGCGCCACGAAGACCCGTGTAGTTTCGCTCAATATCACTCCGCTAGCGTAGGTCGTATTCGTTTTCGGGTCTTCCCGCACGTTTCCGGATCAGGGATGAGACCGAATCTGAGTCCCCGAAGCCGAGAGCCTTGTCCGGTCCTGATATGATTGAAAAAAATTTGAGGGTCGTATTAGCGAGCGAGGAGTAGCGTAGGATTCGCCCGAATTTCAAGCTCCGGGAGAGTGTGAGTCCAGGAAGTGGAGCCGTCAAGCAATCGACGGAATCTAGGCGGGAGGCCAGAAACAGTAGCGTTTGCAGGATTTTTTTTTGGGGGGGGGGGCAGACTGGGTTTTTGGGGGGCCTGGGGTCCAAAATTATGAGGCACCCTGGATCGTCTCTCCATCGTGGGTCGTCAAATGAAGTCGCGCTCGAGAGACTAGCAAGGAACCTTTCTCTGAATCCGATGTGGAATGCGCAAGGTGAACCTGGAACGAATCAGACCGTTCCTCGCGATGTCGTCCCTCTTCCTGATTCCACGGAGTCCGAAACTTTAGCGAGTCTCCGCCCCTGAGCCCTTCTGCAAGATCATTGATCGTCTCTTGCTTTGCATGAAATACATGAAATCGCGGCTTCCGATGATCAGAGTTCTGATGTTAAGAGCTGTATGAATGACGTCGAAAGCGATAGTTTTTCTCTCGGATATGCAGATGTCTCGCGGAAGAACAACGTTCGAGGTATCGGAAGGCACTCGATGCCTGGGTCCGAATGGATAATGCAGAAAATAGACCTATCTCTCATCGTTCGCCGAATACGTCAAGCATATTCTCGCGCCGAAGTCTTGATCAAGCTTCAGACTCTCCACGCCTCCAGGGCGCTCCGGCTCCAGATTCTTGAGCGCCCCGATGGAGAGATATCTCGTCGCTCCGGTATCTGATTGTGAGAACACTGCATTTGGAGTGAATTCACGGATCATGTATTCAGCAGTTAAAGAGCTCTACAAGCGAGCATGTTGACAATAAGGGCTTAGTCTCTTCTTTAGTCCCTTTCGACCGTTTCTCGCTTCAGAAGGGTTCGTAACCGTCTTTCGGCCATGGCAGGTTACGGGGACTCTCACGCGCGGATCGCAATCTCGAGTGACCGTTCGAAGAAGTCGAGGACTACACGTCGAGGATCAGTTTCGTCTTGAGCTCCGCCAGAACTCAGGCCCGAGAAACGGAACCCCGCTCATGTCTGTATATATCGCATCCGTCCGTTCCTGAGTCTCGGAAGAGAACATTTCCAATAATCTTTTATACCCCGAACGATCGCCGCATACGCACGAGGAGCGTCCAGCAACGAAATGCAGTTCACAGTGAATCGCGCAGCTGAAGTCTGTGCAGACTGAAGAATCGGTGCGGATATCGGTAAAAAGCTCTTCTCTCCTTCTAGAGACATGCATTCGGTTAGCACGCTTTCTGCTTTGCCGCTCCGATCGGTCGGGTCTCTTCCGCTCATCGACCCATGTAGAGTTCGCGAATAGCTCTCCTTTCGAAGGGAGTCGCTCGTCGTTCCCGTTCTGGTCAGGCTCCATTGCCTTTCCGTGAGCCTTGATCTCTTCCCGGTTCCCCTGGGTTTCAAAATCCTCTGGGCTTCACTGTGAACGAAGCTGCTTGTGAAATTTAACCATAGAATCCCTTATCAGCTGCACTGCTGAGGAGAGGAGGGATCGGATTATGAGATTGGGTCGGACGGAGGCTCAGTCGAGCACAAAAACTTCATCAGGAAGATCTTATTGTTCAATACTCACCCGGTATCGGGAAAGGCGGAGCGATTTCCTGAGGTTTCCAAGCTCTCCGTGCCTTGCGCCTACGAACGAACCGCGACCGTGTTTAGTCAGGGAGTTCACGAATTTCCGTGCCTGACCGCTGTAAATCTGATCGTTACTCAAGCTCATGCTTCATGCTCCGAGACCAGGGCTGCGCGGGTGAGATCGGGGCTGGACCGGAAAGGGGCTAGAAGAGGGCCCGGACAGAACAGAGGAGTGGAGGACCGAAACGCAGAAAAGACTAGAAGTTCCAGAGAACTTACAGAGACAACGCAGTTTAAAGTTCGGAAAGGGGAACGACTCCGAGAGGAAGGAACCTTCCGGAAGGAAATGCCTCTTCTCGTGGCTATCGGAGACGTCCCTCACCAAGCGGAGAGATCTAATCGTGATACAAACGACAATCAAGAATGGCTCTCGATGTGCCTTGCTGCGCTTCATGTTTCGTCGTTCCCACCGGAGAAAACTCTCAGCATTGGAAACCCTCGTTCTTCCGGAGACTCTCGAACACACCATCTTCGAATTTTATGAGTAAGGACACGCCCATATCCATGAGCCTCGACTCCCTATACTGGAATCGCATCGAACTACGGATATCTCTTGCATTCCGCCTTGAATGGATTCGACTCGGGTTCGGAGACGAGCCGAGTTGGGCAGAACGTGGCGACTTCCCAGGACTCTGATGATGTAGAATCTCTGAATAATTGATCGCGATGCCTAACGGTATCAGATACGTCTCTCTCCCAGGGATGCTGTACCTTATCGGTTATGTTTGCGAAGACCGGTATCCTCCGGCGTCAGGAAACCGTCTAGTCATACTCGAAGAATCTTGATCGTGACGAAGCATTCTTCCCGGAGACAATCATCGCATCGCCCCGAAATAATAACCTAATAAATGTACGGCTGACGGATAATTGTACGGATAATAAATAAATGTACAGATCCCGCGAACCCCTACGATCGATCAGCGAACCGAAAGACACCTTCTCGAGGATCAGGAACTTCCGACGGCTTCAGCTCCGACACTTCCCTCCGGGGCGCGTCCTGACTCGGATAACGGCAGAGAACCGTTCGGGAGCATAAAACATCCGGGGTATCGGAGAATGTCGAGAAAACCGTTCCGGAAGGAGGGCTCTGAATCCACTCATTTAATGAGGTTATCCTGGTAAAACTGGTGAATTTATGCTAAACGAGGTAATTACAAAGAGAGAACCGCGAATGAGAAACTAGGTTCTTAATTGTTCTTGAAATCGGCGGGTCGTTTCTCCACGAAAGCTTTCATGCCTTCCTTCCGATCCTCGAGTGCGAACGTTGAATGGAATGCTCTCTTTTCCGCAGCGAGTCCCTCCTGAAGCGACATTTCGAATGATCTATTCACTGATTCCTTGCAGATGGCGACGCTTATCTGAGACATCGACGCAATTTTCTCGGCGAGTTTTATGCTCTCTGGCAGAAGCTGTAATGGAGAGAGACCTTCATCTGTAGAACTGATTTACGGAATCGATTCGCTTCGGCTAGTTTTATGATGAGGTCCCAACTTTCGAACATTACCTGATCCACTGGAAAGACACGAGATACGAGTCCCCACTTGTCGGCTTCCTGGGCCGTATACTGCTTCCCGGAGAGGCAAATTTCCATTGCCCGAGACTTGCCGATGGCTAGCGTCAATCTTTGAGTTCCTCCAGCACCGGGAAGTGTGCCGAGCAAAATTTCTGGTTGGCCGAATACTGCCTTTTCACCGGCGTAAATTATGTCACACATCATCGCAAGCTCGCTTCCACCTCCGAGGGCATATCCGTTGACCGCGGCTATCACAGGTTTTTGTGACTTGGACACTCGGGACCAGTTTTCCAGAAAGCGTGACTTGTAGCAGTCTTGGAAGGTCTTCGCAGCCATTTCTTTGATGTCGGCTCCGGCAGCAAAACTCTTGTCGCTGCCCGTGATGACTATGCATCCGATCGCTGTATCTTCATTCATATCATCGATACAATCACCGAGTTCGCCCATCAACGTCGAGTTCAGAGCGTTTAGAGCTTTTGGCCGATTGAGGCGAATCAAACCGACGTTCTTCTTTTCGCCGACAGTTTCCACGAGGAGGGTTTCATAGCTTGTCGTGGACAAAAGTCTCGCCGTGGATGGAGAACTGACCTGAACCCCTCGAGGCAATAGAAAGCGCAAAGAAGCAACACGAGTAAACGACATCTTCCGGCAGTCGAGCTCAAGTAACTGTTGGAGACGAGATCCACGCAGAACCGAACCAAAATATAGAGATGACGCTGGAAACTCTCTCCCGTCGTCTCACGAACTCCTTCTCTCAGCGCTCTCATATCTTTCTCTATCTTTTCGCCTTTGATAGAGGATTTGAGCTATCATATACGTATATTTTTGCAGCTGGAGCGACGGTATATTTCGTCGTTTCGAAGTCGCAGCCTCCGAGGACCGCGGCTCCGACAGGAAGCTGCGAAGGACCCAATATTCTATCTGGAATCATTTACCCTTTCCCCAGAACGCATTCTTCCGATGTTTAGAGGGGCGAGGTGGTCCGCGCGCCTCGCACAGGCCACTCTGCCAATCGCAGGGATCGCCCGAAGAAGATCCCAAAGCGACAAAACCGAGCAGCAGAAAGCGCCCCGGAATAATAACCTAATAAATGTACGGCTAAGGGATAAATGTACGGATAATAAATAAATGTACGGATCCCGCGAACCCCTAGGATCGATCAAGGAACCGAAAGACACCTTCTCGAGGATCAGGAACTTCCGACGGCTTCAGCTCCGACACTTCCCTCCAGGGCGCGTCCCGACTCGGATAACGGCAGAGAACCGTTCGGGAGCATGAAACATCCGGGGCATCGGAGAATGTCGAGAAAACCGTTCCTGAAGGAGGGTTCTGAGTCCGATCATTTGATGAGGTTATCCTGGTGAAACTGGTGAATTTATGCTAAACGAGGTAATTACAAAGAGAGAACCGCGAATGAGAAACTATGTTCTTAATTGTTCTTGAAATCGGCGGGTCGTTTCTCCACGAAAGCTTTCATGCCTTCCTTCCGATCCTCGAGTGCGAACGTTGAATGGAATGCTCTCTTTTCCGCAGCGAGTCCCTCCTGAAGCGACATTTCGAATGATCTATTCACTGATTCCTTGCAGATGGCGACGCTTATCTGAGACATCGACGCAATTTTCTCGGCGAGTTTTATGCTCTCTGGCAAAAGCTGTAATGGAGAGAGACCTTCATCTGTAGAACTGATTTACGGAATCGATTCGCTTCGGCTAGTTTTATGATGAGGTCCCAACTTTCGAAC